AGGGGTACTCCATCTATGCAGCTATGGTGAAGGGAGGAAGGGTAAGGCAGGGGTGAGACTTTTTATGATACGGCTTTTGGGGGGGGTCTCCCACAACCCTATTAAGTAAGTCCAGATAAATTCATTAGCTCACTAAGCCAATTGACTGGAATCATTACTTTGGTTTGTCATTGGTATCCTACCCTGTGGGGGGCACAGACATTTTTTACATGGCCCTGTGAAAGTTAAGGTAGTCACTACAACCCAAGTGGTTCTTCTTAAATGGAAGAAGGTCCTAGCATATCCTTTATTTACTTACTTTATGTGCATGAGTGTTCTGGATGCATGCATAAACTTCAGCATGTGCAGTCAGTGCTTGGGGACCAGAAGATGACATTGAATCCCCTAGAACTGGAGCTAAAATGAGCATCCACGAGGTGCTGGCAACCGAACCTAGTTCTCTGCAAACTCAGCAAGTGCTCTTCACTACTGTTCAGCCTCCAAGCCAATCTTGTCACCACCATTCATTCACTTTACAAAGTTTGGTCATGTGTTTTTGAACTATCACCTGACACAGTACCACACAGACATGTCAGAAAGATTAGCCAAGAACATTCCTGGTTGTCAGAACAGGGTCTAGAAGAAACGAAATACAAGTATGTTCTGTGCGATCAAATACTTATGGGTTAATCATTACCCTGGCCCAAACTCCCTTGAGGGCAAAAACCACTCAGGCAAGAAACAGGACAGACTTGCAGACCAACGGCAAGCATGAGATGTTACTGTGAAGTTGGTCTGAACAGCTCTCATCTCTCAAATGTGTTTTAAAATCCCCCATGTTTTCAGGAAGACTGAAAGTGTCCTTTTAGCAGACACTACCAAAAAGTCACCATTCTCGTACAAAACAGATTCCCTCTGGAATCTGTGGACATCTCAGAGGCAAAAACTAAGTGTGAAATTCTGTATTTGACACATGTGCCCTTCCTTGGGCCGTAGACTGCCTTTGGGAGAAGGGATGATTACAGAGTTTAAATTGCATTTTTGATGTGGAAGGGAAAGGAATCACATCCCTACTTCTGCTGGATGCACAACTAAAGCCACCCCTGGTGGGGCGCTCTCTCACTCAAGACTGGGACTCACAGGCTACAGCATAAGACCAGAACATGCTGCGCTGGAACATGTAAGGTCAGTTCTCATTGCATGTCTGTCTCCTTTCCTGGAAGGGGTAGGGCTCCCTCAGCATCGGCTGAGGTGCTCAGCAATGTGCGATGATTCTCATCTCCATCTTACCAAAGCAGCCACTGTGGGTTCTTTCCTAGGAACCCCAGAGAAGACACGGAGCCCTGAACACCTGCTTCAGATGCCTGGCACACACCCATGTAATACACATGTCCAACCCCAAAGTTCAGATAGACCTCCAGCCTGCAGAGCCACCTGCTTAGTCCATGGTTGCTCCAGATCTAATCCCCACAACCCTACCAATGTGACTCAGACCAGATAAGGGTGATTTCTCTTAATGTTCATGGTTAATTAAGTCACTAGAAAAGAAAAGAGTATGGTCATGGGAAAATTTTTTAGTATGGGCCAGCAAGATAGTTCATCAGGTAAATGCACCTGGTGCCAAGTTGAACAACCTGAGTTCAGTCCCCAGGACTCCCACCCGTTGTCCTCTGACACACACACACACACACACACACACACACACACACACACACACACACACACACAAACACAGCAATGAAAATTTCAAACATTGGGGAATAAGAGAAAAAGCAAATTCTTAACCTTGAATGCAGGAGGCTCTGAGCTTAATCCCAGCACTCGTCAAAGTGACAGGAAAGAGAAGCTTGCATTTTAAGTTAAATGTTTTTAACCAACATGTCAACAAGTTTTTTTTAAGTTTATCACAGCAGAATGACTTGTCTCCAAATTTAAAGCTGCATCCTCTCCATTTATTGCAGCCTGAGTGCACAGAGCTCCAAGACTGCAGTACAATAGGTAAGAGCGTCCTGGCCTGCAGCTCCACATGCACCGGCTAGTCTGCTGCTGTTCTGTATTGTTCACATCATGGTCCACTATCCTTGCTCTGGTGTGTAAATGTATTCAGTTACACGAATCCCACTGCTACGATTGCCTGCCATATTCAACACAGTAACATACGCTGTACAGCTGGACGGTCCACACCCAGGTTGTGCCCCACACAGCAGGCTCCATCACCACTTAGGTTTGTGTAAGTACACACCATGATGTTCATACAATGAGGAAATCATCTAGAAACATGTTCCTCAGAACACAGGGCGTACTTGTCACAGTCCCGTCCTCTCTGCAGGACCATTCTGAGGTCAGCTGCAGAAATGGATTCTGTAAAGGGCCAGTGATCTGAATCCTCAGATTACATTACAGTGATTATAGTAGATGACAGAGAGGCAGACAGATGAACGAAGAAGCCCAAGGGAAGAATGAGAACAAAACCTTACAACCCTGCTCTAACCGAGTTGGCACAGCGGTGGCTCACCAGTGAGGACAGACTTGCAGGCTTGTCCTGAAGCCAGTGTACAGGAGGTGAGCAGCAGTGAGGATTTCTAAAAGCACTGACTTTTGTTGTTTTGGTTTTGACAGGGTCGACCTAGTCAGCCCATGTCTAGCCTCCCCAGTGCTGGGATTACAGATGTGCACCACCACGTCTGCTGAAGATACTTCTGTTTACATTTCGCACGATGGAGGAAAATTGAAGACCATGATTATTATCAGTTAAGTGGTTATAAAGAAAGACGCTAACAGACTGGAGGGGCTCACTTTCCTCAAAACTTCTCTCAGGTACAGCTGCTGTTGGGTAAAATTTAGCTAAAAGGTTACATTTCTAAAATATATATAACTAAACATGTGTTAAGCATCTTTCTTCTAGTAATAAAATACCTGATTATGTCACTATGAGACGGCGGAGAGACAAAATAATTATCACTCCCTATTTATATTATAGACCAAAATACAGGTGTTTTCCAACACACGGGATCTTAAGTGGCATAATTGACAGGTACTATAGGCCCCCAAACCACAAATGAGAGGATATGAAGAAGCAAAATTTATTTGTGCATGTATTTAATCCAAACACAGCATTCTTGATGACTGCCAGGTGTTATTCTGGGAATGGAAGCAAGAAGAGAAGGGATTTAGTGCGGAAATCTTGTGTAGGCTGCTGCATGGAGCACAACAATATGACATAGTACGGGAAGTGCAAACATGAAGAGAAAACCTGCAGTTCAGGAAGGAGGAAAGGAATCTTACTCTTGGAGGACACTTCAGGATGATTTTGACTTGTTTCTTCAACAGGATGGCAGAAGGCCTGGGCTGATCCAGCTGGCTGTCAGGCCCCAAGCAAGTCCCTCAGACTCACCAGATGGAAGAGGAGGCAGGTTGCACAGAGATCCTGAGAGTGTGGGTGCAAACTCTCCAGAAACAGGAGAGTGTCCCGTCCCTCAGTGTAAGAGAAAGGCAGCCCTGCAAAGAAAGCTGGATGGGTGTGAGGTGCTTAGGAGGAAGTGGCAGGAAACACAGCCTGGAGAGTAGATTGCTCCAGCCTCCAGGATCTTAAGAAGGAATTCGACAAGTATTCCACAGAGGATGGCTAAGCTTTGAAACAGGAAAGCAGTGGTCATGCCCAGGATTTCAGAAGCTCTTTTCAAAAGCACACAGAACAAAGAGGGAGGGCCAATACAGGCAGCAGTGGACAGAGGAGCTATGGCAGGCAGACACCCGTTTCCCCCCACAATATCAGGAGAGGAAGGATGCTAAGGATCCCCCCATCACTATCACCTGATTTCTCCTCGTTAGAATTTAGCATATGCTGTTGCAATAGAAACAGGGTGAAAACAAAGACTGGGATGTGCTTTTGAATGCTTCCCAGATGCGGAATAGTATAGTCAGATGCTGTCTGGAGAGCTCATCTAGAGAACCTCGTATAGTCAGATGCTGTCTGGAGAACTCATCTAGAGAACCTCGTATAGTCAGATGCTGTCTGGAGAGCTCATCTAGAGAACCTTGTATAGTTAGTTCCTGTCTAGAGAGCTTGATGACTGACTCAACCCCGACAACCCTGAAATCGACAGACCAGATTCAAGTTTTAATATTTATTGATAATTATGGAAATTAAAGTACTGAGATAATATTATTCAATGAATATCGATGGAGAATTTGTTTAACTAGTTTTAAAAGGGTAAAATAATCAAGACCTTCTCAAATAATGTTCTTCTCAAATTCCAAATACAAAATCAAATGTGAGGTTGCTAAAGGACTCTGATCACAGTTTATACAGGGAGCTACAAATTTTTCAGAATCAGCGTGAATTTGCTTCTGTCTGTAGCATATAGTATATGCTCTAAAAGCTCAAGTAGGATGTAACTGTCCTGTTACATGAGGATGGTGAAACTTTAATCTCACTAGTTTTTACATATGATAACATATAATAAAGAGTTCAAATTGTTTTTCATGTATTTAAGATGTGAAAAATATTCCAACATTTAAGAGACTGAGGCAGGAGAATCATGAGTTCAATGTCAACCTCAGCTACATAGATAAGCTCTGTCTAAATAAATACATAAATAAATATTCTCTTTACAGTGAGAGATTAAGAATGGGGAACGGGTGTAGTGACGACAATAAATGGTAACAATGAATGCTGACATGGAGCTGGTTGAAGAAATCTGTACATGTGATAGAAATGCACAGAAACATATGCATACACACATACACAGAGAGAGAGAGAGAGAGAGACCAACACAAAAGAAAATGAACAGCTATACAAAGCTAATAAGCAATTGTTTACCCTCATTAGTAAATAACATGAAAATGAGTTTTGTCTTGTTTTAATTTTATTTTATGTGTACTGGTGGTGTGATGGCTCATCTTGGTTGTCAACTTGGCTACATCTGGAATCAACTAAAACCCAAGCAGCTGGACACACCAGTGAGGGATTCTTCTGGATCAGATCATCTGAGGTAGGAAGAACCATCCTAAATGCGGATCCCTTGCAGTTGGATAGCTCACCCTAAATCCAGGCCACACCTCCTAGTGGCAGATCACATAGGAAGACATAGAAGGAAGCTATTGTGTTTTGTCTGTGTGTCCTCACTCTCACTGGCAAGTTCACCAACCCTGCTGCTGAGGCGACCCTTCACTCATATTAGAACCTACTTCTTCCTGACTCCAATACAGGTGGAAGACGACCCAAGATATCCAACCCTGTGGACGGAACAACTGGATTATTGGCCTGTCTGCTGGGAGACAGCCTGTGGTGGTTTGAATAAAAATAACTCCCATAGGGAGTGGCACTATAAGGGGGTGTGGCCTTGTTGGAGGAAGTGAGTCACTGAGGGTGGGCTCTGAGGTTTCAAATGTTCAAGCCAGGCTCAGAGTCACTCTCTTCCTGCTGCCTGAAGATCCAGATGTAGAACTCTCGGCTATCTCTCCGGAACCATGTGTGCCTGCATACCATCATGTTTCCCACCATGGTGATAATGAACTAAGCCTCTGAAACTGTAAGCCAGCCCCAATTAAAGGTTTTCCTTTATAAGAGCTGCCCTGGTCACAGTGTCTCTTCACAGCAATAGAAACCCTAAGATGTTGAAGGAGCAGTGAGGCTGCGTCCCCGGCACCCGGCCGCCCACATGGCTTATGCCCCGAAATAATTACACGGAAACTGTATTCTTTTAAACACTGCCTGGCCCGGCTATTTCCAGTTTCTTATTGGCTAGCTCTTACATATTGTTCTAACCCATTTCTAATATTCTGTGTAGTCCATGAGGTGGCTTACCAGGGAGGATCTTAACCTGCATCTGTCTGGCATGGGAGAATCATGGCGACTCCCTGACTCAGCTTCTTTCTCCCAGCATTCTCTCTGTTTATTCCACCCACCTATGTTCTATCCAATAAAATGGGCCAAGGCAGTTTCTTTATTATAATTAACCAATGTCCTTCCTCCATCATTTCCCCTTTTTCTGTTTAAACAAAAAAAAGAAGGCTTTAACTTAACATAGCAAAATTACATATAACAAAACAGTTATCAAGCAAGAATTACAGTTACAATATTTATATCTATTTTATCTTTTATCATAATTAAGGAAAACTATAACTATCTATTCATTCTTCAACTCCATCAAAGACTCAAGAAGGATATAATACTACCTAAGTAAACAAGAAATAAGAAAACTCTAGAAATGACAGAGACATCTCGCTGCCTGGACAGTCACCCAAAGTTC